TTTTTTTATTTATCTTGAGAGAGAGAGAGCATGAGTGGGGAGGGACAGAGAAAGACAGAGAGAGAATCCCAAGCAGACTCCATGACAGGCTCGATGTGGGGCTCAATCTCACGAACCGTGAAATTATTACCTGAGCTGAAACCATGAGTCGGATGCTTAACCAAGTAAGCTACCCAGGTGCCCCTTAAAATGCTTTTGATGTTAATTTCCCCATTAGCATCATGAAGAAGCATTCTTTCTTTTCCAGAATGTTATGTCATTTCATTGATGTCTCTTTGGTTAGAAATGAACAAACCACCTGTAGCCAAGATAACTGGGAGTGTGGTGATTACCTTGCCCACGGACACAGCAGAACTGGATGGCTCCAAGTCCTCAGATGATAAGGCAATAGTCAGCTACCTCTGGACCCGAGATGAGGGGAGCCCAGCGGCAGGGGTAAGTGCCAGGAACTAGAGAGCTATATGGGGTCAAGGTGGTGAGATGGGGAGAAGAGGCTGAGCCAAACATTCCAGTATCTGTTTTAACCAAGGGGTCTTGTGTCAAACCTGGATTGCCCTCTGAAATCCAAGGATCCTGAATGACTTTCCTAGGGTCACTCTGCAAGTTAGTATGGCACAGAATATGTTCCTCTGCCCTGATCTTGGCAGCTGTGGGCTTCAGAGCTGTTACAAAAGCAGGAGCTTCCCAGAGGGGGCCTAGTCCTAACAGAAGCAGTACCTGACCCCAAGAAAGGAGTGTGGTCTTGCTCTGCAACGTAGCCATGTTGTTCAACTCCATAGGAGGTGCTGAATCACTCTGACCACCACCCGATCCTCTTTCTTTCCAACCTGGTTGAGGGCACCTACACATTTCACCTGCATGTGACTGATGCGAAGGGGGAAAGTGACACAGACCGGACCACCGTGGAGGTGAAGCCTGGTGAGTTTATCTGGCGCTGGGACTGGGTGGGACTGCCGGCTCAGCCCAGCAGGACCTCAGTCCTGGGACCCCTTCTGCCCAGCAAGAACAGAGCCAAGTGGCAAAGCCAGCTTCTAAACACTCTAGAAACCCCAAGCTGAAAAATCCGTGGAGACTCTGTTCCAGCAGTATCCCTCCTACCCATACAGGAGTTAGTGTGGATCCCTGCTCCCCAACTCATCTCAGATGGAGAAACTGAAACTCAGAGAGGGCAGGGCTTGCTCAGCGTCACACAGCAGTTGTGTCAGAGCCAGGCCTTTGTGCCCCTAGTCCAGCACTGCCTACTCACCACGTGACAGATGAGAGAGGGCTCTGGGTGCTTCGGGAATCTGAGCAGAGAAATAACTTGAGTCATGATGCCTCATCAGCACACAGCTGCAGAAAACAATTTATTTTTATAAGTTGAGCCTCAGGCTTTATCTGACAATCCAAGGAAGGTAAAGTAACTGATGTCCTTTACATTTTTCAGATTTATAGAGATAAAATTTCTTTCTTCCATAGAACTATATTTTTATTTTGCTTTGAGGCTAGATTAGTATTAGGGAGGAAATGAGTGTGGGGTGGGGTAGAGCTTTATAAATTCCTGAGCATCTGATACGAAGGTACTAACTTTAAATCTACTCTTGTTTATATAGGCCAAGCTCATGTACAGGTATCTTAGATGGGAAAGGATCTTGGCAGGTCTTCCAGTCCTTGTCCTACCTCTATGAAGGACAACAGCCAAGACACTGTAAAGTCTCTTCTGTGTTTAAAATCAGATCACAGATAGTCTACTAATTATGTAAATGATACATCAGAACAGGCAAATGGTGCATCCAATTATGGGAATAAGGTATTGTGATTAATCACTTAACTTCCAAGTGTAGCACAGCCTCTAGGACACAGAAATGAAGGACAGTGGTCTCACAGTTCTAGAGCCGTAAAAATATTATGCAGCTGTGATATTGCTCTAAAGCGAAGTCCTTGTTTCTTGGCTGCCTGGAAATTTTTTGTTTACTGTTTTCAAACCTGTAGGGCTGATGCATTTCCAGGATCAATAAGATTGTTGAGATGGACATTTTCCCTCCCATTGTTGTAGACAGAGCACAGCAAGGCACTGAAAGTCAGACACAGATCAGGAGAGATTGTACATATCCCCCACTTGGCCTGGAGAGCTCAGCAAAGCCAGCTGGGCAGAAGCTTTGAGAACAGACCTCGAAGTGTTCTTCTTTCCCACTCCCTTCACCAAACCCCTAGCCTCCCTGTTATGGCCTGATCCCCAGCACATGTGTGGTAATTGTCAGGTTGGTATAGAGCTCTCCACACCAGCCCCAGACCGCATTAGTAGCAATTCAGTATGGTCCCTTTCCATTTGCAGGAGGTCAGTTGCATTCCTGAATGCTCTCACTACTTTTTCTCCTGTGCCAGAACAGACACACAATGGCAGGTCTGTGTTAACTCTCCTACTTCCAAAGCCATGACTGATCCACATGCTTTCCAGATCCCAGGAAAAACAACCTGGTGGAGATCATCTTGGATGTCAACGTCAGTCAGCTAACTGAGAGGCTGAAGGGGATGTTCATCCGCCAGATTGGGGTCCTCCTGGGGGTGCTGGATTCCGACATCATTGTGCAAAAGATTCAGCCGTACACGGAGCAGAGGTAGCTGGGCAATGAATGGGGGGAGAAAAGGAAAGACCAGGGGCCCCCTGGGCTTGTTGATTGAGCTAAGAAATAGTGTGGGTAGATAGAGAAGGGTGGGCTCTTTGACCAAGAACCACTCATGGTGTCTATTTCTTTAATGAAATTTTCTCTTCTAGTACAGGTCACATAGTCTGTACTAGATACTGCAGCAGGGTACCAGGGTACAAGGTCAGAAGAGGTCCTTTATCTTGAAGGCCATAGTCTCATAGGGAAAATAATCAAGATGAGTATGTAACATCAGTACAGGGTGAATTTGACAGAATGTGTGGGTGTCATGGAGACACACAGAGGCAAGGCCAATGAATTCTTCCAGAGGAGTTGGGGCAGGGTGTGATCCAAAGATCTTCCAGAAGAAGTAAAACTTACATTGAGCAAGCATAGAAGGACTAGGAGGAAATTCATAATAGCTGAAAAGTATGAGCCATGGTCCTGTGGTATGAAAGTACAGAGTTCTCTCTGGAGGAAGTCATATGGTTCAGAGCACTTACCAGGCCCAGGACATGGTGGAAGATAAGACTGGCTGTGTAGATGGAGAATAGTCATAAGTTTAGGAAGGGGGGGATTCAAGTTAGATTCCTTTATGTGTGTGAAGTTTTTGTTTGTTTTGTTTTTGGAGCAAGGAAATTAGAAATTGTTTTTGTTTTTTGTTTTTTTTTTTAAGGAAGACCCCCTAGTGTGGAGGCTAGACCAAAATAGAGAGATGCAGAGAGAGAGAGACAGACACTAAAGGCTGGGGAACCAACCAGGAAGCTTTTGAACTAGTCTTAGTAAAAAAGTGATAAACCTAAGTTAAGGTAGTGGCAATGGAATGACAGAAGAGAGAAATGAAAAGAAAATAGAGGCAGATCAGCAGGACTTAGTAATTCTTTGGAATGAAGGGGAATGAGGCATCAAACATGAGGCTTTAGGTTTTGATGCCTGGATAGATGGTGAATGCCATTAACTGAGATTATGGATACAGAAGGAACCAGTTTCAAAGAAAAGATAACAGTTTTGACTGTTGAATTTAGGGTGTCTCATGGGTTACATGGAGAGAGATTTCATCAGACAGTGGCAAATACGGGCTGGAACTTGGGGCAGAAGGAAAAGCCGAAGATAGGGAATCACTGCATACAGGCAGGAATCAAAGCTGGAAGGACAGATGAGTCCCACTGGGGGTAATGTCCAGCACTCTGGAGAACCCCAGTATTTAAGGACGAGGCAAGGAGAAAAGAGCCAGCAAAGGAAACTAGGAAGCAATAGTAGAGAAGTGAGTGAAAAAGCAGGTGGGAGTGGTCTGCTGGAAGTTAAGAGGCGGCTGGCAGCTAGGGGCTGCCAGGGGATTCAGATGCCACAGAGGAAGAGTATGGTGAGGACACAGGTTTTGGCTTTATGATTAGATCGTCAGGACTACAGTGAGAGCATTTTACTTAGATGTTGGGGACAGAGGGCAAATTCTGTCATGGTTGGAGGATACAGAGATGGTAAATAAAACACTCTTTGAAGAGGTTGGTGCTGAAAACAAGATGGGAGGTAGATCAAAAGAACACCTTTTAAAGACAGGAAATACTTGAGCACTTTTATAGACTCAGGGAAGGTGCAGAGGAAAAGTAGAAGGTGGAGACTGGGGAGGTGGGTTCCAAATAGAGGCAGGTCTCGGGGACTGGCTGTGGGCAGAGCAGGTGTGCCACTTTCTCTGGAGATGGGAGGAAGGGCAGGAAAAGGTGCTGTTAAGGATGGATTTTAGAGACAGGATGGCATTCGAGAGCATTGATACTAGTGTTCTGGGTTTTGTCTTTGAAAGTGGAGGCCAGGCCATCTGCTTTGAGAAGGTGGGAAGGAGGTGGGCAGCATGAAGAAAATGGTAAAGGTTAGGTACAGCAGTTCCAGCAAAAGGATGCTGGCTTTGAGCAGCATTGAGATCTCATCCAAGGTTAGAGACACGAGGTTAGAGTGGTGGCTCCCAATTCTAGCTACTTGATAGCACCACCTGGAGCTTTTATGAAGGTGCCATTACCTGAGCCTCACCCCCAGGGATTATGATTCAGTTGGTCTGGAGTGAGGTCTGGGCGCCTGAAATTTCCATGCTCTCTAGGTGAATCTAACACTGAAGTTTCACTGGGTCAGAGCATGATAATAAGACCTTTTTTTTGGGGGGGGGGTGGGGGGGTGGTTTTATTTATTTTTGAGAGAGGGAGAGAGACAGAGTGCTAGCAGGGGAGGGGCAAAAGAGACAGTGGGAGACACAGAATCCAAAGCAGGCTCCAAGCTCTGAGCTGTCAGCACAGAGCCAGACACGGGGCTCGAACTCATGAACCATGAGATCATGACCTGAGCTGAAGTCGGATGCTTCACCCACCAGGCCACCCGGGCACCCCAGGGATTTTCTTTGTAATCTCTGCTGGCAGCCTGTGAACAGGAACAGGGCAAGTGGCTGCCTGGATTGACCCAAGCTGGTGGGGATTGGCTGGGCAGAAGTAGTGCTAAGACATTAGCAAGAGTGCTGCTGGACGTGTCACGGAAGGGTTTGCCAGCACACTTGCTCTCCCTGCATCTGGAAGACGATGCATGAGGAAGAGAAGCAGCACGGTGGCTCTGGGTTTCTGACTTGGACTGATTGGCCAAGTTGAGGAATTCAAGAGGATAGGCTTGCAGGCAGGGAGTCTATGATAGCAGGAAAGAGCATGGGGCAGACACCAGACAGACCTGGCTTTTGAGCCCTGCTCCATTAGTGTCTGCTCTGGGATGATGGGCAAGGTACTGCCCCTCTCCAAGCCTAGCCTGCTACTTGTACACTTTTGTAGGATTGTTACTGAGAGTTAAATAAGAGAATGTTCGTATCCCTACCATACAGAGAGTGCTCGGTTGCTGGTTATTGTAAGTTTATTTTGAGACCTGTTGGGTTACAGGTACCTATGAGAGATACGGATGGGGTGGATGTCCCAGCAAGCTTCTGCAGATGTAGATGTGGTCATTCTGGAAAGACTAAGGGAGAGGAGATAAATATTTGAGGTTTATTGGTATATATAGAGAAATTGAAACTGTTCGCATGGATTAGGTAACTGGGAGAAAATAATGAGAAATGGACCACACATTTTTATGACAAAGGTCTGTGTCTTGATTCTGAAATTTATAATACCCCACCCTTAGTCTCACTGTGCAGAGGACTTTATGAAGTCTTTTATGACAGTGCTTCCCAAACTTTTATGTCATGATACACATAGGCACTGATGCTATGTGTATGGCACTTTGGGATAAATAGACACGGCTGGTTATACAGGAAGCAACTGGTCTGGGGCCTCCGGGTCCCAGCCAGCCACTCTGTGTGTTGAAGGGATCAATATCTTGGGCACACCTACAACCCAGCGTGACCCACTGATTGAGAAGGTTCATTTGTGAGACTAACATGGAGTCAAGGGGGCTCTCCAAAAGGCCTCTTAAGGCCAAGGCATAGACAGCAGACTTTGTGCCCATATAGAGGTGAGATCAAACATGGCCTGCCCTGGACAGAAGTTGACAGAAAGCAAACAGATTCTGGACATGGGGTAGTATAATCTTGCACCAGCCACACCACTGTGTGGGGTCTTTCTTGTTGCCGTCACAGTAATGATCATTTGGCTGTTTTGACCCATGGATAATGCTTTGATGCTGTCCAACAACATACATTTTTCAGAGCATTATGGTTTGTCCTACAGGTAACCTAGGCACAGACCCAACAGCACCACACCACAGTCTTAGCTGTTAAAAGGCTGACAGCAGAGATGTAGTTGTAACCAAATCTCCATTTTCCTGACCTCCAGTTACTTGTTTGGAATGGGTTGTCTTGTTAGCTAGGACAGCTTAGGGCATTTCTAAAAGCATAGGTGTTGTAGTCAGACATACCAGGGTTGGAATTTGGCTCTGCCATAATTAACTGTGTGACCTTGGGCAAGTTACTTAACCCCTCTGAGCCCTAGTGTTGTCCTCTGTAAAATGGAGAGGATGCTGATAACACCTTTCTCACTGGCTTGCTGTGAGAGAATGTGTCTAATGCTTCGCACAGTGTCTGGCATAAAGTGCTTAGCAAATGGCAGCTACTGCTATTATTGCTGACGGCTTCAGCTCATTCATACTGTTGCATGTCTCTGCAGCACCAAGATGGTATTTTTTGTTCAAAACGAGCCTCCCCACCAGATCTTCAAAGGCCATGAGGTGGCAGCGATGCTCAAGAATGAGCTGCGGAAGCAAAAAGCAGACTTTCTGATATTCAGAGCCCTGGAAATCAATACTGTCAGTGAGTAATTCTGGGAAGCTGGGAATACAAGCCTGCCCAGTGCCCACAGTTCACCACAGTCCTGCTGTCCTCAGGCTTCATCACCTGTTCTTGAGGAACATGGATATAATCGCTTAGCTCCACTACCAGGGACATGGAAGAGTCCTGACTTGTTGCAGAGGTTTTAACCTGGGGTCCATGGGTCCATGAGCTAGTGTTCAGAGGGGCAAGGAGTTTGAATGGGAAGAAAATGACATCTTTATTTTCACTTACCTTTAACTGAAGTTCATTATTTCCCTCTGTTGTGAAGGTGGGCCACGAACTCCAGTAATATTAACAGAACCTGTGACTTTAAGGCAATAGGAATCACAAATAACGTCATAGCACACTACGTGATGAAGTATCATTACTACTCATCACTACTTCAAAATCATGACAGTTGTTAGACTTGCTTCTAAATCTTGTTACTTGATGTTTTCATAAAGACACATGTATATGTATAATTAGCTTAGAATTTTATATTCTTCAATATTTAAAAAACATGTGCAATATAATTGCTTTCCTTTGTAATACCATGTATTTTATTTTGGCAATTAAACGATGCAAAGAAGGGGGGGTCTGTGGGCCATGAAAGATGATGTACTGCTGGCAGAGAGTAACAATAAGTAAAAGCAGCCGGAACTGTCTTCAGTGGCCTGACTGCTCCAGTTTCATCTGACCGTGGCGATGATCACGGGCAATATGCCCGAGCTGTAAAAGCCCTCGGGGTGGGTGTCCAAGGAATTTCCCCACGGGCCACAGCAGGGGCGCTGGCAGCTGCCAGTCTGGCTCTGACTCCTGTTGACCTTTTCCCTTTCCTACTACTTTCAGCATGCCAGTTGAACTGTTCTGACCATGGCCACTGTGATTCATTCACCAAACGCTGTATTTGTGACCCTTTTTGGATGGAGAATTTCATCAAGGTGCAGTTGAGGGACGGAGACAGCAACTGTGGTGAGTTTTCTGCCTGGCGCTGTGCCAGCCGGTTTGGCACTGACTGTAGTTCTGAGTTGAGCAGGTGGGTGTTGGTGTTTCCGAGGCAGATGAGCAAGCGAGGAGAAGAACTCTGTGTATTTTCTGTTTGCAGAGGACTTTTACTTCCTTCCTCCACGCTGCTCAGGGTTAGAGCAGAGCTCTGAAGCAGTGTTGTACAAAGAACCAAGCTTAAATCAGACCAACTGCAAATTGCAGGCTAGATCAGACTGGCTGCAAGGCCTCCTGTCTTTTGCGGGGTGTCTCTGTGCCATAGCCTAGTGGAAGTCTGCAAGTGTCTGTTCTCCCTTTCCTTCTGGGAAAGCTCCTTACAACCTGCTACACTGCCTCAGGGTCTCAGCAGGGATGGTTTAGAAAGGTGAAAGCTTCAGCTGCCTACAACTGCAAGGTCTCACCTTCCCTGAGCAGCCTTCCTGTCTGCAGAGCGAAGCCACCTGCCCGAGGCCGAGGCAGCCCAGACTGTCCTGCTGGCCCCTCTCTCTTCACAGCCCTCACCATTTTGTTTCTCTTGGCAGAGTGGAGCGTGTTGTATGTTATCATTGCTTCCTTTGTCATCGTTGTCGCTCTGGGAATCCTGTCCTGGACTGTGATCTGTTGTTGTAAGAGGTAAGATGGATTCTCCTTGAAAATTCATTAGAGCTTCTAGTTGTGTCTTCATTCATTAGGGAGGTATCTGGCATTTTCCATGTGGAAGGTGCTAAGTCTTGGGGGGTCCCTCCCTTCCTGTCACTGTTAAAGTCATTTGGCCCACCCAAGGCATGCACAGAAAGGCTTTCCTTACCCTCTGCCACTCCTGAGGGCAGGAACACACCCCTCAGCCAAGTGGCTGTCACTGCATTGATGCACAACCTGGGAAGCGTGGCCATAGCCATGATGGGCCTGGAATGTGGACCTGAGTCACATCTGTCTAGGATAGGTGTTCTATATTACTCCCACTCCACCTGTCTCACCACTTGACACATGAGTTCTCAATTTTTATGCCTTCCTTTCTAGTTGGGATTCACGTGTCTATGTACTTTCACGTAACTGTAGACTTAGATTAGTCATGATTAAGTGTTCTAGGTTTTTTTGTTTGAGTCTTCCTCTCAAATGATATTTAATGGGAATATTTATTGTATGCTTTTCATTATTAATAATAAGTATGATTTCTACACTGCTGTGTGCCAGACACCATGATAACATTTTGTAGGTAATACCTTTTTTTTTAATTATAATTTTTTTTTTAACTGTTTGTTTATTTTTGAGAGAGACAGAGACAGAATGTGAGTGGGTCGGGGCAGAGAGAGGGAGGCACAGAATATGAAGCAGGCTTTAGGCTCCGAGCTGTCAGCACAGAGCCTGACGCAGGGCTTGAACTCATGAGCTGTGAGATCATGACCTGAGCTGAAGTCAGACGCTCAACCAACTGAGCCACCCAGGCGCCCCTGTAATACCTTTTTTTTAATGTATATGAGAACCTTTGCTCATCTTACAGCTAAGGAAATGGAGGCCCAGGAAAACAACCCCACCTGTCCACGGACACACAGTTAATACGTGACAGAGCTGAGACAGAGCCTGCAATATTGAGCCTAGGTTTCACATGAAACCTAGAAAGTGAAAATAATTTTTGATAATTTCCACCAGCCTGAGACAACCACCATTAGTAGATGCTTTCTTTCACCCCCCACCCCTCAAGCACAGGGTTTTTGTTCTCTTAATGTAATAGGGAGAAACTGTGCCTGACTCCACGTTGCCTCTTTCCCTTGCTGCTGTGACCTACAGCTTAGAAACTTCTGCTGGGCCCTGTACGTAGGCATGTTAATCATCGAAGGAATTTTGCTTATAGCTGAGATGAACAAAAAACTCTTGTTTTAACCTGAGACCTACCTCACTCAAGGAGATAAGCAAGTACCTTCAGATAGGCCTGTGCTATGTTTGAGATTCACAGAAACATGATCAGATTCCTACAGATTATCAACCAACCTAGGACAGAGAAGTTACACAGCCTTCCTTGGATGTCTGCAGACATCAGTCACCTTTCGACTCCAGCCTCCTCCCACTTCCTCCACCCTAACAGAAAAGCTCAAATATCATGCTGGGGGAGATGGTTCTTTGGGACAGGAGTCTGCCATCTCCTCGGTTTGCTGATTTTCTGAGTGAAGTCGTTTTTCTCACCCCATTCATCTTTCCCCTTGACTTACTGGCCTGTGTGTGGCGAGCAGGACAAGCTTGTACCCCCTTACGTTTGTGTTGTTAACCAGTCTCTCCTTCCTTGCTGCTGTGGAGTGGTGGCTCCATGGTAAGATAGTCAGAGTCACCTTCCTTTCCCAGAATTGGTGAGGCATTACTTGAAAAACAAATCACAGTCGCCACCTTCCTGCAGCTGCGAAAGCAAGGGAAAACAGTCCTCCCATTAAGCAGCTCTCACCAGGACGGGGCCCTCTATGTAGTCTGGCCATCACCCTGTGGTGAGCTCCCTAATCTCACACAGAACCCCCTTCTTGAGCAGCTGTGGGGATTGTGTTTTTCAGGCAGAAAGGAAAACCCAAGAGGAAAAGCAAGTATAAGATCCTAGATGCCACGGATCAGGAGAGCCTGGAACTGAAGCCAACCTCCCGAGCAGGTAGTGGCCCTGGGGGTTGGGGACGGAGGCCTCTAGATTTGTGCACTCTCCCTATGAAGAGCTACTGTCACTATAGTCCCCTCCTAAATGTGTTGCTAACAGCTGTTTGTTCCAGAAAAGCATTTTGACTCTTGCTTGTTAAACGCTGAGGGCTGACCTTGCCTTGCACTGCCAGAAGCTGCCTGCTGGGTGAGCTCTGATCTGGGGCTCACTTCTCAGTATTGCTTCTCTTTGCAGAAGGACTAAGCCTCTTGCTTTCCTTGGCATGCTCATTCCCCTCAGGGATTCCTCCTGGCTTTCAGCTGTTCATGCTGCCCCCTGTTAGTCATGCTCAGGGACCTTGGTCTCTTAGGCCTGACAAGTCTGTCCTTTCTGGGCAGACAACAAGGTGTGGCAGCAGTGGGATTGAAATCAGTGTCTCCAGCTGGCCTCCTCCTCAGCTGGCCTTCCTCTTCCATCTTCCTCTACCTTGTATTTGGCAGATAGATCCATGGGCTCCGCTGGTGGCTTAGAACAGGCAGGAGGGCAGCTTCCCTGCTGGTCCCAGTGCACAGGACTCGTCTTTCAGGTGCCTCCCACCAAGGAATCACCAACTGCACAAGCACTGAGATGGCTTGGGTGATGGGGCTGGAGGTCAGGGTGCGCAGGGACTCCCTTCCTTGGCTGGGTGTCGTCATGGGTGAGGTTTCCATTCATCATCATGAGGCCACAGGACCTGCATTGCCTGTTTATGGGACTCTAGGTGGGGCTATTCCTAAACACTCTGCCAACAGAACTGTTTTTATACAAAGCATTTATCAAACATGTTCATACTTAAAGCTTTGTATTAGGAGAGGCTGGAGGGGAAAACAAGAGAGTTCTGACACCCTGGCTCTGCCCTCGGAATTTCAGTCTACTGAGGGAGCACAGACACATTAGAGAAAAAAAAAAAAAATGCTCTCAGGCGGCCTGGGCTCTGCACCCATGCACCTTGGGTAGAGAACATCTTGGGGTGGTACCTGGAGGTGGTGGGGCTTGTAAAACCAGAGAAGTAGAAACACTGAAATGGAGCCTGGAGGTAAAAACGTGCACAGTCCACCCCCCAGCTGGTGGCCAAGGTTGTTTTCATGTTACTCTGAAAGTTTTCCCACCCCTCGAAATCCTTTGGTGACTGACTTTGGGTCTGGCTAACGTGGCCTTGGGTGAGCTCTTATCTGTTGGCTTCTCTGAGATCTATCGCCTTGTTGACTTGGTTCATATTTCTGTCCAGAAAGCTCTTTGTCGTTTTTGTCGTCCCTCCCTTAACCTGTAAATGTCATGCTCATCTGTCACGTGACTGTTTTGGAATTTCTGTCCCTATATTAGTTCTGTATCTTTCCCCTACCAGTCAGTGACATTGGTGAGGGCAGAGATTGTGTCTTATTCCTCTGTGCATATGGATTGAGACCACTGTTTGCCAGGCCCTCTGCCAGATACCAGTTACATACGGTGAGCCAGACAGACTCTGCTGCTCTGGAGCTTCTATGAGACAGACATGAAATATGCAAACTCCCAGATACACAGCATGTGATAATGAAAGGTCTTTGTAGGGGCGCCTGGGTGGCGCAGTCGGTTAAGTGTCCGACTTCAGCCAGGTCACGATCTCGCGGTCCGGGAGTTCGAGCCCCGCGTCAGGCTCTGGGCTGATGGCTCAGAGCCTGGAGCCTGTTTCTGATTCTGTGTCTCCCTCTCTCTCTGCCCCTCCCCCGTTCATGCTCTGTCTCTCTCTGTCCCAAAAATAAATAAACGTTGAAAAAAAAAATTTAAAAAAAAAAAAAAAAAGGTCTTTGTAAAGAAGAACACTTGAACTGAGACCCAAGGGACCAGTAGGAGTTAGCCACATAAGGACTCTGTGAAAGCGCATTCCAGGCAAAGGAGCAAAGTCGGTAAAGGGCCAGCTGCTGGAAGCAGCAGAGGGCATTTGAGGAAATAGAGGAAGGTGACATACTGGACATGGTGAGCACGGGGCCAGTGGCACGAGGCTGCACAGGTGAGCAGGGACCTAGCTGTGGGCTCCTTCTGAGAGTAGTGGGCAGCCACAGGCAGCTTTTTAAGGAGGTGAATGGTCTGATTTGGTTTACATTTTAAAAAGAGACAACCCTGGCTGCTGTGTAGGAATCAGACGGGCAAGAGCAGGTAAAAGAGGATTCGGTGGAATGTCCTAATGGTGGAGAGATGGTAAGATAGGGAGAGGCACGTAGATTCCAGGTACCTTTGCAGGGAAGACTTGATGCAGTTTGTGGCATGTTAGCCGAGAGGTGTGGGAGAAAAGGAGACGTGCAAGCTGGTCCTGGAGCTTCTGCTCTGAGCAGGTGTGGGTTGGGTGGTACTGGAGAGGAAATGCCGGAGAAGAGAAGTGTTTGCTTCAGGACGCTTGCGAATGGTGTTGAGGAAATGAGGCTGGAAGACTGGTGAGGACAAAAGTGCGGAAGGTTTTGAACATCAGCCAGGGTTAAGCATTAATTCTGATGGTGACAGGAAGTGTCATCTTGAAAGTGCTGGCTTAGGAAAATTAGTCTCTAATGACACCTGTAATTGACTGAAGGGGAGATATCCCATGTGGAGGCCAGCAAGGAGACTTTTGCAGTGGTCTGAGAGGGAGGTGACGATGACTCGACCAACATGGGGTCAACAGGATGGAGGACGGGAAAGGTCAGGGCTGACTTCTGACCTGAGGGACAGAGAATGATTCTGTAGACACAATTAAGACATCAGTGCAGTGCCGGCTGGGGTAAGAAAAGATGAATTCAGTTGAACCCAGTAGAACAGTTGGACTACAAGTGTCAGTGTAAGAATCTTCTAGATGCTGGTGAGGGCCAAAACAAAAGTGGGTCACATCCCTTCTGGGGAAAATGTTGAGGGACCAAAGAGTCCAGAGCTGAGGAGCCCATGAAGGGCCGTCAGTGAGGGAAGAGGTGCACCGTTAGGGAGTGGTCAGCAGTATTAGCTGTTGCAGACAGGGATAAGAATTGTCCATGAAGATGACACTGGGGAAGTTTCTGGTCACCTGAAGAGCTAGAGTAGAATGGTGAATGGTAGAAGTGAAAATGTAGGTTGTTCCAGCAGTAAGTATGCAGTGAGGAAATGGAAGCCCTAAATATTGAAAAAAAGTCCTTTAGAAGTGAAGCAGGGTGAGGCAGAAGACAGAGGTAAGGCTCCTGAGGAGAGAGGGAATGGGGCTCAAGAAAGGAGAGGGTGGGGGACACAGGGCTGGGTGATAGCACCAGGAAGTGCTGCGTTGAAGAGGCAAAATGGGCAGGAGGCAGACATCCAGTGAAGGGGGGGCAGCAAGGGAGAGCCCAGTTGCATCTGGGTCACCAGGAGGAGAAAGAGGAGAGTCAGGAGGCCCTTGTCTGTGGGCAGTGTGTAGCTGAGGGACAGGTGAGAGCCCCCTTGCGCTTGGTCTTCTGGCTCTGGCCGGCAGATCAGTTGTGGACTCAGCAGATTAGTGGGTGCCCCGCAGAGCAGAGCCACTAGCAGGTAGGGGAGAAGGGGATTCAAGCCTGTCAACGTAAGGCACGGAAGCTGATAGGTTGAAGCGTGGATTTAACAGGCCCCTTGTGAAGAAAGGTAATGCACGTGGAAGCACGCTGACAGAGACCCTGTTTGCTGGGAACCAGGCTGAGCTCTGATGAGGGCTGCCTGGGGAGCCGGTGCACCCGCCTGGGTGAGCTCCCAAGGCAAGCCTCAGGAGACCTGCTTTCCGTTCAGCGACTGTGGTTTTGGGTTTGTTTTTGCTATTCTATTGATTTTCCAAAGCTTTCTTTTGAAGCATATTAGATTGAACCATATGAAATTAATAGTGTGTGACTTTTTTGAACCCATAAAAATGGTAGTTTTTTGTGGTTTAGCCCAACGGACAGCTGGATGGGTTTCCTGCAAGTGAACGTGCCCATATAATCAGCTCCCTTTCTTTCCCGTCATCCTCTTCCTCCTGCCAACGTACTTCTGATATTTTAGTTTATATAAAGGGAATCACTGTATTTGGCCCTTTCCATTCACCATTACACTTATGACTTCCCGACGTGCTGTCAGGCAGAGCAGTCGTTTGTCCATTTCCTGCTGTGTAATTTCCACTGTATTAATACATCTGGCAGGTGTACTGTTGACAGGCAGTTGAATTCTTTCCAGTTGTGGCTGTTCTGAGGAGTGTGGCTGCAGAAGCTCCTGTCCAGGCCCAGCTTGTACTGTTTAGTGAGTGAGATCGCTCAGTTCTCCAGGCAGAGCAGGAGTGAGTGTGGGAAGGCCCTGGGTGAGTGCTGTCTGGTGTGGTGCTGGGTGCATGTCTCCCTCTCCCGCTCCTGTCCTCTGTAGCTGTGGAGGAAGGAGGGCTTTGGGGAAGAAGGGAAGCTTCATGTGGGCATGGGAGGGAAGGCTTCACAGGCACAGAGGGGAAGGGGTTGAGCCTCCCCTGGGCTTCGTTCTTATGTTGGCCCACTGTTCCCGCCACACGGGAGAAGCCTGGGACACTGGTATCAGCTTTCCTGGCCAAGAAGGGGCAGAATGGCTGAGAAGGCATCTCAGGACATTACTTCAGTGTTTTGGGGGATCTGGGTGGGACCAGGGGGAAGGGAGAGTGACTATTGGATATGGGGTTTCAAACATACCTCACCTGTCTGGTCACCTTTTTCAAAAAGGAGGTAGGTCAGCTCCAGGGTGGGTGGTGTAGGGCCCAGAACACTACCACGTGGGGTTTTCTGTTGGCACTTCCCATGCCTCATCCTGTGGCTTTGTTTTTCCGGTGTGGTTTCTGCAGCCACAGGGATAGGTAGTGAAGGTGACTGCAATGGCTTGCAGAATCTCAAGCATCCTTTCTGAACTTAGGTGCTTCTTATGGGTCCTCGTTTGTGTGTTCTGATGCACTGATGGCCTGGGACTGTCTCTGGGAGTCCCTGGTACTCCAGTCAGGCTCTCTGCTTCTAGCACCCACGCAATGGAACCAGAGCAAGCATCTGTGGGGAGCGAGGTTGCGTACTCACTTGATGTCGGGAACTCGGGCAAGCCCTTTACCATCCATGCTGAGCCGGGGTATGGTGAAAAGTTTGTCCTCTAGAGCTGAGTTCTCATTTGTCGTGCTTTCCTGCCTCCTGTGGGAGCTCCATCCTGTTCATAAAGGGAGGTGATAAAACATTGCACATTTCAACAAGAGGAGAATGGGTCATTAGGTGGCACTGTTAACCAAAGCTAATAGATACTGGAGACAAGGAATCCACATTGCAACCCAGTTCTGTTATTTCCCCGGTCCCTCTGTTCCTCTTCAGGCTGGGAGAAGGGTACAGGGTGTGGCTGAGGCCGAGGAAGGTTTTGTGCTCCTGAGCCTGGATTCTCCTCTCTCTCGCAGGCATCAAACAGAAAGGCCCAATGCTGAGCAGCAGCCTGATGCGCTCTGAGTCGGAGCTGGACAGTGATGATGCCATCTTCACGTGGCCAGACCGAGAGAAGGGCAAACTCCTGCATGGTCAGAATGGCTCCGTGCCCAACGGGCAGACCCCACTTAAGGCCAGGAGCCCACGAGAGGAGATCTTGTAGCTACTTGGTCTGTTTCCTCAGGGTAGGGGTGGGCAGTGCGAGTCCAGAGCATTGCCAGGCTGGTTCTCATACCTCCCATGTCCGTGGGCAGCTGTTCTCCCAGCATCTGCTGGTCATTCCACCCTAATACCCTCAACCAGAGCTGCTGGCACCTGAATCCAGAGACTGTCTCCGGGAACCCTGAATGAAGCTGTGAACGAAGAGGTTTCCTCTTTAAAACCCTTCTGGTAGCCGCCCCCCCCCCCCAAATGTCCTCACCTCAGGGCCTCCTTTTTCGCAAACCCCTCCTCTGCTCCAAGGGCTGTCCAGCCAGCTCCCAGCTGCCTCTCCAGTTCCCTGTTGGCAGTGTTGCTGCTCCCAGGGCACCCGCACAGCAAGTCCTGGCTGTAGAACAAGCACCACCAGCCTCCTGCTCCGAGAGCCTGCCTGTGGGCACATTCTTTGTCCTCCTCTTTGGGACAGAGCCGTTATCTTTTCGCTAGGTCCAGAGAAAGTGGAACCCCCTGTCCTCATCACTGATGCCCATGTCCAGCCTGAGATTAGGGGAGGACTGGCTGTTTCCGGAATGGAGGGGCCCCTCTGGCTGCTGGGCCATCTGTCAGACAGCTGGGCTGGCCACAGACCCTTTCCTTCCTCCTGACCTGCTGCTTCAGGACTCAGGCCCCCATGCCCTGCCCGCAGGAGACAGTCACACGCTGACTGGAATGTGATGGCATGAGCGCATGTGTGCGACTGCCCCATGGCGGTCTCCTCTGTCTTGTGTGTCCCTTGCATGTGTGTGTGTGTGTGTGTGTCAGAATGTGCGCACATCAACTCCTCATAGGGCTCTCGGGTACTTGTGAGGCTACCTGGACAGACTTTTAGCTCCTTGGAGCAGAGACTTCCTGAATCCCTCTGGCCCTGTCACTGGTTCCTCAGCCATGGTCATCCTGGGTGTTGGGGAATGGGAGCTTTGAGGGAGTGACTTTTTGAAAAGAAACTTAGTTTACACTACTGCACTACTGTCTGTTGTGAGATGATTAAACATGCTATTTAATTGTATGTGTACCTGCTGGGTGTGCTGCTTTGTGCTACACTGCTGACCTGTACCATGGGTCCAGCCACCTATGCATCCCTGGGATGCGATAGCCTCCAGTAAGGAAGTTGTGGGCCTTGGCATCAGTGTGTGTGGCTGATGGTGCTGAGATTCTGCCTCAGCCGCTGCCTGGCCACTGGTGCAGGCTCCCGGCCTCTGCTGGCCAGCTGCTCCCCCCTGGCTTTCAGGGAGGGGGTTTTCTGTCCTCTTAACCTTCTGTTAACAGAAAAATGATTCATTCCTCCACCTTCACCCCACCCTCTGAACCAAGCAAGGAATTCAGAGTGTCCTAACGCCCAGGGTGTGGACTTTAGATTTCTGGACCCCTGTGCTTCCCTTTTGGATTTTCAAAGCAATAGGGGTGGCCTCATGCCCCAGAACACAGTGCAGTGTTCATGGAGCAGCTTGCACAGCACGTAGGGTAGGAGGAGGGCTGGTGTACAGTCTCTCTCCCAGGAAGGGGAGGGGAGAGGACAATGGAGCTCATTCCCTACCCAAGGCCCTGCGCACAAAAACCCCCTGGGCATGAGCAGAATTGGCTCTGTTTTCACAGATACAGAAACTGAGGCATAGCAAGAAATAACTCGGTCCACATACAATAAATGACAGAATTAGAACTTGGGCCTCGCAGAAGTCTGTGGGCTGGATCAAAAGCCTGGGAGGCCTGATGCCAGACTGTGGGGGATCGACTGTGGACTTTCTGATGGAGGTCTGGCACAGGAGGATGTACCTTTCTACTAAGTTCCCAGGAGACACTACGCTGCAGATCCGGGGGCACACTGTGAGCACCACTGGTTTGGAAGTGCGTATCTAGTGCAACGTTGAAGAGGAGCGGCAGCTGTCCCATCCTGAAGGTTGGAAGTAATCACAGAAGCAAAAGCTTGAATCGCTTCAGGCCAGGGATACAGATTTCCTCAGGGCTGCAGGTCAGGCTACACAGGAGGAGAAGGTGGGCAGGAGACCAGGACTTGATCACTTACTGGCCTTCTGGACTTGTCCTGTTGTGGGGTGTGGGGCTCATTTCTACATCTTACCTCAGCCACAGCTCACTGAAGGATATGCTTTTATCTCCGAGATGATGAATTTTTCATCCCCTACTCTTCCCACTGAAAAAACGACAAAACCCAGAAACCAATGCTGCTGTCCTGTTAGGCATATTTCCAGTTGAGTACAGGAAATATTCAGCATTACCAAAGCACCAGTGTCCCCTTACTCATCGTCTTGTCTCTACTCCTTAGCACAGTGGCTGATACGCACTTCAGAGCGTGCCTGTGGTGAGCACAGTCTAAAAGGGTGATCCATCCTAGAGATGTGGGAGATGTGGCTTCTCAAAGGAAAATGTCAGCTGAACAACGGAAAAGATGGCAGATCTTGTCACTGCTGAACTGAGCTGACACTCCAGGGAAACATGGCCTACTAAGCTCCCAGAAGTATTACTTAGGAGAATAAAGAGAAGGAGTTAAAATATGAACAACAAAATAAGATTGGGGTGGGGGTGGGGTCAAATGATTGAAATTAAAGTAAGCTAAGGTCCTTCCAGTAAGCTAAGGTCCTGGATTCAAGTCAAGTATTCATGTTATAAATATTGAGGACACCATTAACAATTAGTAACTGGCATATGTAACATCTGCACCAGACAAGGGAAGAAAAAAATACTTCAATCAGTGAAACCGTACAGGAATGAAGGGGGAGAAAGCAGTTTTTTAAAAATGTGACCACTTAATGGGCAAAAGTTGTCAGATTCGACATTAAAACCACCACTGCCGTCACCACCACCACCACTTCCAAACTGAAGTTAACAGATTGGATATATTTGTAAAACTGTAAGAGAGACACGTAAAATACAACATTGAAACACTGAAAAAGAAAACAGTAAAGATATAGTAGGGGCTTTGGTCCTTATTAAGATGATAAAGTGGCATAGGCTACTGGCTCCTCTCCCCCCCAAAATAATACACCTTAGGAGATGGCATAAATCTGAGGAACCACCACCAAACCCAGCAACAAACCACCCCCAAATCCTGTAAGTATGCCTAGGAGACTGAAGGTCATCATAAACTGGGAGGTAGGCCATAAGTGAGAAGTCTACCCTTTGCTGCACATGGAATAATCAGTCAATTCACTGGTGTCAGCGGGACACTGTCAGGGCAGGGCCGTAAGCTCTGCTGAGATGAGAAGGGCTTGGCTGGGCTGCTCTTGAGATTAAAAAACCCTTCCCTCTCCAATGCCCCAAGACTGGAAGATGACAACTAGGAAGTTGCTGCTGCTTCCTAAGGATCTGAAGCAACTACTGGTAAAGCAGTTAATAGAGCCTTTGAGGTGTCTGGAGGTTATTACCTTCCCCTTCTTAATCTCACTGGGATGGACAGCATAGAGCCTGGCCTTGGCCTTTCATCAATAAATGTTACTAGACAGGAGCTGGTGCTCTTTAGAAACATGAGCTCATTGGCCAAAATAACCAGATGCTGCCTGGGGGTGTACAACCCTCAGCCCCAAAGACAGCAAACTAAATACACACATTAGTCGAGAACTAAAAATAAAGCAAAATAAATGTACAGGGAAACATTAGCAGTGTGAAACAGGAACAGGAAGTACAGGGAAATACCCAGGATGAAAAATATAATGAATGGGATAGAGTGACAGATACAGGTCAAAACAAATCAGCATCCTGAGGATCTTTACCACCAGAAAGCAGGAAAGGAAAAAGACAGCAGTCCAGGGGCAGAACAGAAGTGCCGACATGTGAGTAACTGGGAGTCCTAGAAGGAAATGGAAGAGGTAGAAAAGGAAATATTTGATGTAGTAAGACCAGAATTAAAGAAAGATCAAAGAACTCATGGATAAGTAGGGAAAACGTACTGAAACCAGAAACACTGTAGCAAGACAGCGAGAGATGGTTTTAAAGACCATCTAAGACGGGGCGCCTGGGTGGCGCAGTCGGTTAAGCGTCCGACTTCAGCCAGGTCACGATCTCGCGGTCCGTGAGTTCGAGCCCCGCGTCAGGCTCTGGGCTGATGGCTCAGAGCCTGGAGCCTGTTTCCGATTCTGTGTCTCCCTCTCTCTCTGCCCCTCCCCCGTTCATGCTCTGTCTCTCTCTGTCCCAAAAATAAATGTTGGGAAAAAAAAAAAAAAAAAAATAAAGACCATCTAAGAAAAGCAAAAATTCTGAAAGCTCCCAAAAGAGAAATAGATCGATTACAAAGGGAGAAGAATCAGACTGACATCAGGTTTCTTAACAGTATCCTTATGTGAGAGACAAAGAATCACATTTCCAAAATGCTGAAGAAAAAGAACTTTGAGCTCAAAATTTATATCAAGAAAAACTCATTTGAGAACGTAATAAAAAATATTCTCGGCTGTGACACTTGGGTGGCTCAGCTGGTTAAGCGTCTGGCTTCAGCTCAGGTCATGGTCTCACGGTTTGTGAGTTCGAGTCCCACGTCGGGCTCTGTGCGGACAGTTCAGAGCCTGGAGCCTGCTTCGGATTCTGTGTCTCCCTCCTTCTCTGCCCCTCCCCTGCTCATGGGCTCGCTCACTCTCAAAAATAAACATTTAAAGAAAAAAAAATATTCTCGGAGCACATGGCTCACTCAGTTGGTGGAGCATGTGACTCTTGATCTTGGGGTTGTTGAGGCTGAGCCCCATGTTGGGGGTAGAGTTTACAAAAATTCTCAGGAATATAAACCTTCAAAATTATTTTCACAAAAGATCCATTTAAAAAATATTCTTGGAAGTGGTCAAATACAAAAAATAAATTTAGACATGAGAAGAGATATAGGAAGTAGTGGCGAGCAAATAAAATATTCTGGCAAAGTTTGTAATCTGAAACAGCTAGGGCCAATGGAAAACAAAATGAAGTATATCAACAATACAAAACCAAAATTCCAAAGAATACCAACATGGTATGTTTAGGGAGACCAAGAAC